TGTCGGGAATTGAGTGTGTTCCGTCGGACTGTGTTGTACTCAGTCTCCCGCTGTGTCTTACAAAGTGTACAATCCATCCAGCACTGCTTCTTGTTATGAAGAGACCACACAGGCAAGCATGAAATCATTTCCTCCCCTCTCTGCATTATCACTCACTGTTGTGGAAAATTGGATTAGGAGGGGCATGCCCAACGAGCAGCCGCTCTCTGACCCTAAGGGGTCGCGGAGGTCACTGGGTCTGAATGCTGACTCTGTGCCTTACCAGTCACGCCATATATCGCTCTGCCATACTTCCTGGCAGCATCCAACCTGTAAACCTGTGCCAAGAGTTACAGCTAAATGCTCCCACTTTCATAGCGTTACAGTGGCGCTTTCTGCAATGTCGTAGCATTTCGCCGGACGCCACAGATGCGGGTCACAGCCGATCTGGCCCCCGGTCCCAGTTATCCGGGGGATAAATGCATTAGTGCTTCTGCATTGAGTCAAGGAAGGACCGCAGTCAAAATGACAGTAATTGGATGTGAGAGGTTGCCACATGGATGAGACAAGGAAGCACAGGCAGACAGAGGCCTTCTGTGCAGGACGATAGGCCACAATATTGAACTGTTACTCTGGCTGTAAACTAATCAGCCAGCAACACAATTAGCTACATGGTTAGCACCTGCCCCCAGAATCCACGCCAAGCGCCACAGCAGAGGAAAAACGCTATTTCAGTCTGACATCTTCTATCTTCCTTTCACTCGTATAAACGCGACAATAGAATAATTCGATTTACGCTGCTGTTTAGCCCGATGACAGAAAGCCAAATGAAATCGTCCTGCATTGTCAGATTCAGGGTTTCCGGCTCGGTTTTTAAACCTCAAATGTCATACAAGGTAGGGGATAACTTGTGGACACACGCATGCAGACGTTACAGCCAGTTCACAGACATCGATTAACCTAAACTGCATGTCTTTGGATAGCAGGAAGACACAAGAGCACTTAGAGGATAGCAATACAATCTCCACACACAAAGCTAGGGACATGCATTGAACCCTAACCCCAGCCTTGTGAGGTCACAGCAAAGGTGTAGCAGAGAGTTCGTGGCTCCGTGAAAAAAATCTCCTTGAAATTATTGCTTGCAAATGCTGGTTCTTTTTAAAACATGCACATTACATTTAGATATGTACACACATGCATGGAAGGTGATACCTGCCAGAAGATAAATACAGAATTTTCTAACTTGCACTGCCTGCACCCAAGTAGGCTTAGAGCAGGGCTGCCCAAACACTTGTGTGCATGCGCCCATTTTTCAGTGTGCAACTAATCGTGTACTGTAAACATTTAGCATGCAAACATGTCAGAAGCCAAAAAATGAAAAACGTATCTTGTTCATTCAGAGTGGGAAGAGGATTATTTTTTTGTTTACTCAAATTAGAAGTCCATGTGTCCTATATGCAATGCGAGCGTGGCTTTACCGAAGAAGGGCAATTTGGAGCGGAATTTCAAAACGATGCACAAAAGCTACGAGACCGAGTTCCCTGCGAAAAGCAGCCGGAAAGTGTGGGAACTGAAAAGTCAGTTAGCAGCACAGCAGTCGATTTTTACCAAGTCAAACACCAAAAGTAAGGCTGCAACGACAGCTTCCCAGTGCCAGCGGTCCCAGTAAGGTAGAGAAATACATTTATTTACACTTTTTCAATTTGGAGAATTACCTGGATCTGTCTGGATTTGCTGTGTGCATGTTAACTATGTAGAAAGGCACTAACTATAGTAATAATAGAGTAATAGCTATGGCTCCCTATTTGAACTGGTAGGTCTCGGCACACTGGCCACTTGAAAAGTAGATCTTGAGTTAAAAAAGCTTGGGCACCCCTGGCATACAGTGAGCTGGTGAGCAGTGACCATCTGCAGAGAACTAAACAAAAAGCTGCACAGAACATCATCCATCCAGCTTTAGTGTGAGGACACAGTGACATTAATAGGACATTGTACAGATGCAGTTAGTCGGGCTGTGAATGGTGCAGTGGTGCAGTGCCGGCACTGATTTCAACTCAGAAACGAGGGCAACGCAAGTTTTATTAGAGCAGAAATACAGAATCGTGAGGAGAGGCGTCTCCTGGGGCAGTTGGCACTGCCGGGAACATCACAGCCTCAGTTTGCAGTTTTGTGTTGCTAATCTCTTGTTTCATTTTGTGTTCAGCTTTCCAGAGTTCAGGTGTTCGTTTAACGTGCCTTTTGTTCCTGTCCTCCATCATCCTTCCTCCGGTTTCACTATCATAAATTCTGGCAATTGGTGTGTTTTCTACCATCTTTTTTTTGTCACATTCTAGCCTATCAAAATAACACGTCTTGAGCTGATATAATTCTGTAAACAACTGAAGAATATAAAGTCAGAGCAAAAAAAAACAAAACAAAATTGACCACAGAGACGAGACAAGGAGTGTATCTTCTGATATTATATTAAAAACGTCAAAGAGGTCATGGCTTGGCATCTGTAGAATTTTGAGAGCGAGATTTGTACTAAAACAATATTCTGGTGGCTCAGAGAGGATGGGTGTGGGCTTTTATCATGGGACAAACAGGAAACCATTGTTCCTATTAATTGCAACAAAAAAACTGAACTGACAGTGTCTTTGAGAACATTCTGGATGCAGCTTCCTATAGTAGGAACACACCCTCTGCATCGGAGTATTGCTTGTATTGCTTGTGTTGTGTTTTTGACATTCAGTAAATTACAATTACACATGCTGTCTTCCAGACCCCATTGGTAAGGCAGGGAGCCAGAAGAAGGTGTCAGGGTAAGCACCCATCTGTCCGAGTCTGTCATGTCTCTTCCCTGTTTGGCCAGCAGATGTCGCTGGCCATCCTGTCCTCCCCCATTGTCAAAGTTTTCAGTGTGCTTATCCTGTTCCCAAGATAGATGCATGTGTGTGGCTACTTGTAAACCCCTCAGCTGTGTGTTCAAATCACACCTCCTCTGTTTTTGTATTTTTGTAGATTTCAGTCCCTTGTGTTTCATTTGTATCAGTTTTCTAGTGATTTGTACTGTAACTTGTATTCGGTTTTGGTTTTTTGCTTTGTGCCCGTCGTTCTGTTTTACCTGTGTTATTCCCCTACTGTTAGATTCTGTTTCCTAGTTTGAGTTCATGATTTAGTTTTATTAGTTTGGCCTGTTTTACCAGCCCATGTTAATTGTTCTCATCTGTCCTGCATTATTCTTGTTATCCCTCAGTATTTAAGTTCCTGCCTTAGCTCAGTTCCTCAGTGGGTCATTGTATTTCATGTGCTTTTCAGTTGGTGTTTGAGAATGTTAGACGTTCCCATGTGTTGTTCACTTTTTTTGTATTTTGTCCCTTGCCTGCCTGCTCCTTGTCACCCTGACTTTTTGTAGTTAGTCTTTGTTTTTTCCTACTTACTTATTGACCCCCCCCCCCATGGGCCATTTTGTCTTGTAGTGTTCCTTGTGTTTTCAGTTCTGTTAATAAACCCCCGTGTTCCCTGAGCCATCAGTGGATCGTCTACCTTCTTCCCAGCCTGCCCTGTGCCAGAACTGCCCAAGTTTTTGACAGAAGGTCTTCCATACCATTCTGCTCCTACTTATATTCCAGTAACAGGACACATTCAGTTCAAGTTCAATTCAATTAATTTGTGTAGCGCATTTTCACATTACATTATTTCAAAGTGTCACAGGGATGTGACTTTGTTTGTTTAGAACATCTCCGGAATACTTCACACAGGATGCCTTCTGTGGAGCTTTTTTTTTTTTTGATCACATTCCTAACTAGATAAAAAGGCATCATGATGATGTGCATTTGTATCTAATTCTTCTGACCCAACATTTCTCATGTTATTGCAGAAACAAGGGAAAAAAGGCAGGCATAGTTATCACCTTTTATGTGGTAATATTTGCAGTGTATGTATATACTGTCCTCAGCTGGGCATATGCAGAACTGCAAGAAAACAAAATTCAAGGGAAGTCATCCTGTATGAAGTATTCTGGAGATGTTCTAAACTAACAAAACCACATGGGCACAGGCACATGCAGAATGAACAGGAGCACATCTGGAACCGAGAGTAAGGCATGCTGTCCTCCAGAGTGGACATATGAATGACTTTTTCTAAATTAGATGTTTAAAAAAATCAAATGTAAGATACTTTTTTCCATCCCTAAATAATGTTTAAAAGAACTAGGAAAAAGTTCAAGTTCTCGTAATTCATGCACACAAGGGTTACACTCAGTCTGAAGTTCTTTGAGTTCCCAGTGATTACTCCCGTCTTCAACTTCAAGACCACAAATGGTCCTTTTTGTGGGGATAATATAACAGTACCTGTATATGTTTTCCACTATCACACACGTCAGTGAAAAGCCGTGCAGCTCCAGGAGATAAGACAGAATGTAATATATTCTCTGCCCTTTTGGGACCCAGCAAAGGGATTCCTGGCAATATCTCTCCATGTACAACTGGCAGGGATTTGGAATATGTTAGTAATCCCCCCCCCCTTCTGCCAACAAAGGATCATAAAATGAATTGGGTAATAGCAAAAGGGTTCCATTTACATAACAGAAACAAACATCCAATTCCAAACTAGATAAAAAGGCATTATAATGTTGTTTTTTTAATATAATTCTTCTGACCCAACATTTCTCATGTTATTGCTGAAACAAGCAGAATAAAAAGGCAGGAATAGTCGTAAACACCTTCTATTCTACTGCCATTCAATTCATCACAACCGTTTTCGCTGAGTGTGTATATACTGCCCTCAGCTGGACATATGTAGAACTGCAGGGGGAAAAAAAACCTCTCCGGAAGTCATCCTGTACTAAGTATTTCCGACATGTCCCGAACAAACAAATCTTTAAGAGGAAAAAAAGGTCCGTCTTTCCAAGACAATCATTTTTTGTATCCTGGTAAACTTGACTACTGAGTGTTAAAATTCATTTTGCCTTCAAATTTCATTTACACATACGAAACGTATTTTCTAAAACACTGCTCTACGACACTTTAAACACAAAGAGATTAAATCAAAAGCTTTTTATTATATAAAACTGCTGTTTACACTGACCATACCATTTTCGAGTAACTAATTTAACATTAATTATAAAACCCATATTAAATAGTCCAACTGGTATGGAATTACTGGCACCAGAAAACCTTCAGAAAAACCAATACACTGTCATGTACCAGAAAAGGAGAAACGTGTTTAAATCAGTGGCATTCAGTAAATAACTGGTTTTTTTAAGACGAGTTCATGAATAAGAGTTTTACAATAGAAAAACATGCACCCACCAAAACAACACTACTAAAACTACGCAGAATTTTTTAATAAGCTAATTCTTTTAAAGACCAGCCAAGCCAAACTCAAATGCGAAGGGAAGAGGGGGAGTTTACACCATTGGCATGGCAACACTGCAGCCTGCACTGGTGACAGCGAATGGCACTGCACTGCATGTGGGCTCTGCAGAACCTGAGAGGAGCCCATATAATGCCAAATAACAATGTTCCCAGCCCATGGGGTGCAGCAGTCATGTGGGCCACTGAATGAAACACAACAAATCAAACAGAAATTTGGATTTGGCCTTGACCCCCCACTGACCCCCCCCCGGCTTTTTTCTGGTCTCCACGTCACTGATCAACAGCTTTGAAAAATGTACTAAAGTTCTCTCAGGACTGGACTAACAGCTACAATATAAAGCACTTCCATTGTCAACTAAAACATCATTGTAATAAAACGCTACTTTGACATTAATATAAATCAAAACATTTTGAATATTTTTAGTAGTATTATGTCTTGGTTTCGAAATTCAACAAAATATATCACCAAAACACTACCTTGACAAAATCATAACATCACACTGAAATATGCATTGTTGGTCCTAGCTAAGGATATGCTTTATCTTCTCTTGTCTGGTTGATGGTCATTCAGCCTGAGGACTGAGGTGCAGGACTCCTGGGTTTAAAACTGTTCCACAAAGACCTTCCTACAAATACAGCCCCCACCCCTCAGTACCTGAAACTGAAATGAAAGACTTAGCATCATCTGAGCTACAGTAATGAGGTTACATATCTCTTCAGCATCAGAATCATGGCAGTAGAATGTGTGTGTGTGTGTGTGTGTGTTAGGACAGTGACGCAGAGATATTGTGGAGAGAATACGAAGCACAGAGACCGGTGGGTGTCAGCGCTGTGGGGGAGGGGGGGTCTTCAGTACGCCGGGACTTTGGTGTAGTCAACTTGCTGGATGCTCTGGCACAAGCAAATGGTCAGCAGCATTCCCAGGAACTGCGGGGGGCAGAGGGCTGGTCAGTGGGAACTGACAGATACCCAGCGGTTAGGGTTGGGGAACAGTGCAGGAGAGCATGATCAATGGGGAACGCCACACCCTAGTGATGGACAGGCATGTGTCCAGATCCAGCCAGCTTTCAGAGGACATGTGGACAACGTGACAGAAATGAGCACTATCACAGACGTGAAGGAGGAGACAAGAGGTGCAGGGCTTACACTGGCCAAATGGAGAGCACCTAACATGCAAAGGCACGCCCCATTGATGGCACGTCAGCAGCAGCTCGGCTGTCCCTCGGTCAACAAGGGAGAGGCTTGCGTTTCACGTGTTTTACCAAAAGCAGCCTTCATTGTATGACATCACCACATTTTCTGTTGAGATTTCTGTTAAGCTCTGTTAACATGCTTACCTATAAAGGCTGTATAGAGCAATATAAGGGCACATCTTTATTTTCTCATAAGAACAAGAAGAAGGAAAAACCTTTACATGGACAGTAACCCAAAACGAATCACTGACAAAGATTTGGACCAAGCCCAAACAAACCAGTGGCTAAAAACAGCAGGTCAAGCCAGAAACTGAAGGGCTCATCATTGCTGTTCAAGACCAATGCATTAAGACCAGCTATTATCGAAATGAGATCTTGAAAGACGGCACCAACCCAATGTCTAGGATATGCAACAAACAAGAAGAAACAAAAGACCATCTAGCCTCTGGCTGCTCAGAATTGGCTGAATGGAATATATACTGTACAAAGACACATCCAAACAGCAACATACCTCCATTGGGCAGTATGCAGATATTATGACATCCAAGTCAAAGATAAATATTACGAGCCGTCAAGCAATAACTGAAAAAGATGAGGCTACTATATTGTGGGATATACCAATGCAAACCGATAAAGAAATCAAGACTATCAGATAGTAGTAGTAGATATACTGTAGTAGTGAAGGATTAGAGGGAGAGAGCTGGTCTGCTCATCGAGATGACCCTCCCCACTGAGAGAAACACCTCTCTGAAAACTATAGAAAAACTCTCCAAATACAAAGATCTAGAAGTAGAAATTGAGAAGATGTGGGGCATGAAAACCACAACGATGCCAGTGGTAATAGGTGCTGTCGGTCTAATCAAGAAAGGGATGGAGAACTAAACCAACAAAATCCCCGGTAATATCAGGATACAGGAGGTCCTGCTCATGTACCTTAGGAGGACATTATACATCAAGTGAACCATCACACCCTCATGGTAGCCCCAAGTTCAAGGGATGGACTCGGCTTCATGAGCGAATAGAGCAGAATTTAAAGTATAATAATAATAATAATAATATTGATATTATTAATAATAATAATAAGAAGAAGAAGACGAACTGGCAACCTTCAGATCACAGACACTGTCCCAAGCTCCATGAGTGGAAGCCTTGAGTTTGAAAATGAGAAAAAAAACAGACCGATGTGGTGATGTCATAGAATGAAGGCTGTGATTGGTTAAAGAAGCAAAACACAAGCACCGCCCCCCCCATCAGCAGCATGTTACCTGCCTGTTCTAACCACAGAGCAATGCAGCACGCAGGCATGAAGAAAACGATACAGCCAGGGAAGGCAGGCAGGTACCTCAATGGCTGCTACTCCAGCACAGACTCCAATTATGACTCCGTAGTTGTTGAAGAGCCAGCTTTCCACACTGGAGACACAACCCTAATGGAGCAAGTGGACCAGAGTTAGCATAAGACACAGGGACCTTCTTTTCCTCCATTACAGCCAGTACCGGACAATCCTTTATAGTACAGCCTATAGCTGTTATCAATGAGCCTGAAGGCTACACACACTTACCCTGATTACCTTTCACTGCTAATGGCAGGTTGGGACCATGCATTTCCCCCACAGCATCAGTGAACTGCGCATAACTTTCAAATTTATTTATCCAGTACTTTCACTGCTAGATATTAGCTTTTAATAATAGTGCAGGCATTCATCATATTACACACGGTACACTGAAAACAGTTTTTTTTTTTTTTTAAAGAACCTTCTGTCTTAATGCCTGCAATTAATAAAAAGAGAAGCAATAAAATTGTAATGACGCAACAATAATTTGCCAGCCATTATAATGAAGGTAATTGTGGAAAGGTTTAATTTACAGCCCCATCAGTTTGACTGCTCCACTTGCTGCCACTGGAGGGCGACAAAGCTATCATCAGCCTGTAGGACACTATTAATCTCAGCCCAGAAGATTGTTCTGCTCTCTAATCCAGTTCAAGCATAATTACTTGAGTAAACTAAATGATAAGATATGTCTGTGCTGGGTTTGGCAGTGGCTGGATGGCCCTGTGTCGGGGGCGTGTACCATCTGGTAGACGGGCCATTCCGAGGACAGCGACTCGCACAGGCCTTTCTCCTCCAGGCCCACGCCGGGCAGGGACATATTTCGGCAGGAACAGGGGTACAGCACCCGGGAGCTGTTCCTGATGAGCATGTTCTCAGTCCAGTTGCCCGGTCCGGTCCAGCCACAGCAGTGAATCTTACCAGAAAGACACTGTGACTTAGAAATTGCTACAGTACAACAGCTCTGGATTTCAGCAGTCCAGCAGAAGAACAGCATGTGAGCAGAATATGCGCATATGAACTCCCAGAGGAAATGAGGTGCAGCAAGAATAGTGCTTTGCTGTGAATGAAACACTTTAGAAGAGCCAACGAGGGGACATTTTGAAGTTGAAGGACCTTCCCAGAACCTCAGCCCTTTAAGTTGGCAGCATAATAAACTGCATTTAAAAAAGTATTCCAGCTAAAGGGAACTTTTCATTATATTCAAAAATAAACTATATAGTCACATTTACTCTTTTCTGAGGAAATCGGAGCTCGGACTTATGAATAACCATCATCATAGCACCTTCAAATCATCTTCGATGTCAGGTTTCACTTCCAAGAAACACTGTGTTCAACACGGTTTGATTGCTAACCTCTAATTCTTGGTAGATCCACACACACATCTCACCGTGTTTCACATTAAGTCAGGAGTGTGTACATTGAATCCGGGAATACAATTATAAAATCTGTTTTTCACAGTCACTGAAAAAAGCAAACTATGTTTTTGCTCGGAATTGATCAGAGATGGCACCTTGATGTAATTTTTAGCGAAGGACGGCTTCATTCAAAACTGCCCAGTTTCCATCATGTTCTGCATTCGGTCCCCATCACTTATTTGCTTAGACAATGATTCAAGGTCATTTGCATTATTCCCAGAAGTATCCGTGATTTGAAACAAACCGAGAACAAGACACAGACTGACTTCATCTCCTAGGTGACTGTGCTCATACTCACTGTCTTCTGGAGGTAATCCCAGGCTTGTTCCGTGGTCTTGTTGCCTCCAGCATATTCCACCATGATCTTATTCACAATGATGGACATCTCATTCTTCAACTGATTAAGTGTAAAACACAGCAAACACTTATAACCTTTCTCATACTGGGACTCGTGAATTAAATCATTAGCCTCTTTTGTCAACCATTACAATATAGCAAGAATTATAAACCGTCAAAATATTTAACTTTGGTTTTGTGCAGCCACAGGTGATAAACCCCGCTGATAACTGGTGGATGAGAAGTCAGATGTGTTGTCTGCCCATGGACACGTCTTTGGTAACCTGCTTAGATGCCATATGAGGTCACAGAGAAGCTACCTTGTGCTTTAGCAGGACAGATGCTCAGACACAACACAGCCATACCTTTCCCCTGCAAGCTTCATTTAAAAGCTGTTGATTCGTTATGCATATAAGTACAGTTACCCACCATACTTGGCTGCCTTTGAGTCAGCAAGGCCATTGCAATTTGACCATGTGGAATATGAACGATTTTCTGATTGCTCATCCACATCAATGGAATTTACTGGAAGGACATCATGTGGACTGAAGAGCAAGAATATAAAGCAGAACTTGTGCCGCCCTCTGGCCCTTGAAACTCGGTTAATCCCAGTGGCAGCCTGCCGACAAATCTGAGCATTCAACTCCTCTGACAGTGAAAACAAACAAGAGTAAAATATACATCCCAAGGTGAATGCATTCCTCCTTTATGGCAAATCCTGCTCCAGATCCTTCCCTTCCATTCCTTTGGGAGGAATTCAGTCACGGCCTCCAGAGGTTGTCCATTAAAACCATGCTTAGACGCTTCCTGTGGCTCAGCTCTAAATAGAGTGAGTCGTCTCCCTGCTTCCGCCTGCTACCTAATTCTTATAATCCAACATGTGGATTACCCCTCTCTTCCACTAGGGGTGCTGCACTCAAGAGTTTACAACTGTGTGATTCTGTATATCATGATTAGTCAATGTTGGAGCATTTTGGAGACAGCAATATATGAAAATGTCATGATTACTGAGTCTCTCACCCTCCACAAGCTATGAGATTGGGGATAAGACACTGAGGGCAACAGCATCTAACGAAATGTGCCAGGACAGGTTGTGGACAATGCAATAGGCTAAACATTTTATTTTTGGTTCCTGTGGTACTGATGTTCCTCCATATCAGCAAAGCTTCATGTCCCTCCCTGGTGGGAGTCATTAAAGGTTTCAAATCAGAATATAGACTCATAAAGCTTGCTGGTTCAGTTGACCTTGAGTAAGCTACTTAACCTGATTTGCTCCAGATATCCAATCTCAGTGTAACATACTCAGGGGCGCCGCTAGAGATTTTGGGCCCCATGAAAGCATATCATATTAGGCCCCCCAGTCCAAACCAATCCAGTTATTTTCCTAATTTTTTAGGGCCCCTGTCACTCAGGGGCCCTTGGAATCGTCCTAGCTTTCCACCCCCTTACGGCGCCCCTGAACATACTACAGATATAAGTAAACATCAAGAAAAAAAAAACATGGAAATAATGCAAGATCTGCTTTGTAAGTGGACAGATGAAAAACATCACTCACCAGGTCCCTCTGGAAGTACATCAGCACAGCAGCTGTCATCTGGGCGATGAGGATCAGCAGGAGGCATGTGAAGTACTGCGGGGGTGGGGGGGTGACATGAGAGAACTCCTCAGCTATGCTGCCACAGGCATGTTCTGCTCAGCTCTGCTGCAAGCCAACACCATCAGACCAGGCATGGATTCCACTCACCAGCCCCAGGACACAGCGGATCTCATAGATAGCCCCAAAGCAGCCAAGGATGCCCATGAGAATAGAGAGCGAGCCAACGCCAACCAGGATGTAGGAGCCCACCTTCAGGGAGCTGGAGGACTCCTCTGCATGAGGCACAGAGGGTTTCGGTTATCACTCTTATCACTCTTCGGTGCAGTGCAGTCAGTTCCTGTGCACTATGCAGGCCCTTTACTCCACAACTCATAGGCCAGCCGACAGACACCAATAAGCTGAACATACAGCTAAACTGGGACAAGCCTCCCTGGATCGTTTGAACAGCATAACCCCGTTTGTCGCCTTCCTGATGTTGAGCCAATAGCATGCCAGAAGATCAGAATCTAAAGGTTACATTCTTCTGGAGTTTGGAGGAAAACAGGGCCTGTACATAATAGAGGATCGTTTGGTGCGTGTGTCAGCTCCCGGGACACCTGGCTAAAGATACGGCCAAGAGGAGGGCAAAGAGCTAAACACAGTGCAGCTGTTCTCCAGAGCTCTCCAAAAAGATGATTCCTCTCCCTACACACTTCAAGACAGACTGAGGCATTGGGGCCCCCATACAAACCCCAACATTCAAACACCACATCTACCAAGACAGACTGAGGCATTGGGACCCCCATACAAACCCCAACATTCACACACCACATCTACCAAGACAGCATAATTTTAAATTTCTTATAAATCAAGGCAGAAACAGATTTATGACTACATAGCATATGCCTATGACCCAAAATACAGCAAAAACTGACATATGGCCAGAGTTATTTGCAAATGCTAGCCATTTACCTCTAGGCGCATGGCTCACGCACACACACACACACACAAACACACGCGTACACATACACACACGCACGCACGTACACGCAAGCACACACATGCACAAATGCTGACACACGCAGATGAGGCTGGTTGATAATTAGAAGCCTGAAAAGCCACACAGGCTCACTCCTCTGTAGACCACAGAGAAGAAACTGGGAAACTTAACCTACATAATGCTGTGGCCTGTAATTCAAGCTAAAACAGTCGCACTGGGGGAAAAAAAAAAAATCAGGCACACGGAGAATATAGAACTGCTTGTAATGAGAGCTTTGCCTGTATGTATGTTCATGGTGTGGCCCATCTGTCCACTGCCACTGTGGATGTACTTTTTCCAAGAGGAGGGCAACCTCTAAGGACAGATTCAACATCCATTTGGAGAAGGTAAGTATCCAGCAGAGAAGGGCTGCCATTCTGTTCCCCATACATTGTTAACCAGTATGACTTCCCTGAAAATCATCTTTATTGCCGTAATCCTTGTTCTAGGCATTATTTTCATTAATTGGGCATTGCATTATTATCTTCTGAAACTCGTATTCTACTGTAATGTTCCCTGACCAGCATATAATATTAGAACTGAGCTGGAGGAATAAAATATGTTTCTAGGATTCTGCTCCACAGGTCTAAAAAGCCATCTGATATCAAACTTTTTTTTTCAGCTTTTCAGTGGATGTTATATGGATATGCAATTCTTAATGGGTTTGTCCATGGTGTATAACCTGTAAACACACATACAGCCCCAGGAGTCTATCACAAAATGTGATTTCTGCTTAGCCGGATAACTCGTCAGATTTAAGGAAGCCTGGGCTACATGCAAGTGAAAGATGACAATGTCCATTTATACTGGGATACCTTAAATCTGACAAGTTATCTGGCTGAGTAAGAAATCCAGCTTTCTTACGATAATAAGAAAGTATTGCACACACAAAGCAAATGGGGCATCTGACAGATTGATGCCAAGATTCACAGTCACACACAAAGAATAGTCAATGAGAAAATTACCAAAGACATAAAAGCATTTCAAAATTCTCAAATTTTGTTAAGATTCCAACAAATCACAGATACCAGCATAGCGGCTTTCCTGAAATATTTTGACGTAAACATCCATCTGTTTTTTGTACCTGCTTGTCTTATGCAGGGTCATGAGGGTTCAGAGCTTATCCTGGAAGCTATAGGCACAAGGCAGGGAGTAGCTCAGTATGGGCCGCAAACCCATGGCAAGGCACACTCACATACCATTCACTTACCCACGCACACTTATGGGCAATTTGAAAACTCCAATCAACCTCAGCATGTTTTTGGACTCTGGAAGGAAACTGGAGTACCCAGATGAAACCCCACAACGAACAGGGGAAGAAGATGCAAAGTGCACGCACGGAACGATGGTGGAAGTTCGAACCCTGGTCCCAGAGTTGTGAGTTAACAGTGTTAACCACTGCATCACCATGCCACCCGCTTGAATTAAACGTTAAAATCCGAATACAAATGGCACCAAGAAGCCAAAGTTAGCTACACTCCCTCTAAAAGCACAGAGGACCATGAAACCTGGTAGATACAGTGATGGGATCTTCAGAGAAACCTGTTCAGAAGGAATATATATGACAAGGGCTGACTACTGGGTCTGACTGGGAAACACAGGGCAGCCCAGACCCAGGCAGGATCAACAACTGGACAGAACACTGCACTGTGGAGTAAGCGGGTTAGTGGATACAATACAGCTCCACAAACATGCAGCAACTCCAGAGGGCATGAATAAGGCACACCCTCAAAGCCTGCTTAATGTATGCTTGATCTATTCATCTATTCATCTAATCCAGTTCAAAGTCATGGTGTGGTCTAATCATCATTCTATAAATTCTACATCTTTGTAATAACTTTGTAACTAATCAGGGCACATCCATCTATAAATTACGGGTAACCACTATTCCCCAGAAGCATAAGATGAAACACGAACAGGATGTCTGGAAGGACAATTCTAGCTAAGTAGTTTAGGGAGTGGGTTCCAGAAGCTAGACGTTAACAGAGTTCGAAGAACTGAGGCTGTATAAAGACCAGGTTTCTTTGATGCGTAGTTGCAGGGTATAAGAAGAGGTCCAAATGAGTAACTTCATCAAGAGCCAGTGTGGCGCTGCATGTGAAGACTAGATTGTGGGCTTCAGGGGATTATTTGTCATGGTATTCGGATCGTTAACATTTCTACAAGCACAAACGCAGCACACGTGTGTGTGTGTCCATGCTTGTGAACACGCGCAGGAAGCGGCGTGTTATTGGTCAACAAGCTGGAGGAAGCCGGGAGGGGATTTGACGAGAAACCCAGAGGAGACCTCTCAGCAGGCAGACCGCGGAGCGTGTTGGATCACACAGCAACAATCTGCAGAATCAATCACAGCAAGGCCAGCTGAAGGAAAATGCAACGGCCCAGTAAAAGTGGCGATTTACCACTGAGCCACCAATCAGCTGGAAGGATCAGACTTATAATACAACATGACATAGAAGCACAAGCCTTTGTGAAGACAATATACTGCAAGATGACAAAATGCCCCCCAAATGTACCACAGCTCATTCTGGATCAGCATTACACTATGGAGGTGGGGTAACAATGGCTTATATTCTCATATTGGTGCCCTTTATATTTCATCATCATGTCATCACACAACAGCCCCTTGTAGAAACAATTAGAAGCTGGACTTGCACTGGCAAACAGCCTTTGGGTCTCTGACTGTGCTTTCCTCCTCTGGGAGGGTTTCGGATAGAAATCACTATTATCTCATTAGATATCTACATTTACATTAATATAATTAGTTTTTCTCATGGGATTGAGAACACAAATACTTGTTTCCCCTAAGTGCATTTCATTCAGAACATTAAGAACTTTATTTTATGCATATGGCATGAAGAATGATGGACTTTCATTAGTGTAAAGGACTTACGCAGAACAGTAATGAAGCTCTGATTATCCAGAAGAATCCAAAGTCCAAAACCAAAAAGGATGGCTCCAAAAATCTATGGGGAAAAAAGTCAAATGTTCATTCAGGTGCAGTGAAGAAAGCTGCATTTGTAATTCCCCAATATTATCAATACTTAATTTCAGCTTTTTGCTGTTGAGAAACAGTGAGAAGATACCAATAGTACAAGTGGAATAAGTGATGCCCACTTTCACAAGCTCCGCCTTCCTGTTGAATATGTGAGACTGAAGAAATCAGTGCAAGGTGAGCGGCAGTGGTGGACTGTGCTCAGGAGGCCCACAGCGTCAGTCCCCGTCAGACATGAAGCATTAGCGACTCTCCCAATGCACACGGCCAGCATTACGGCTGCCGGCAGACAGCTGTGCATAAGCCTGACAAACTGGCCTCAGTGTCAAGCAAGCAGAGCATGTCTACATTCACCAGACACGCAACTTTATTTTTTCTCCTGAACAACAGGCAATGATGTGCATCCTGAAAATAGCCATGCAGGGAACCAGCTGCACAATTCTCCTGCCGCACGTTTTGTTTACATTTCACACTGATTTATCTACTTAGCACTGCAGCTGCCTGTACTTCCATATCTAAAATGCTCACATTATGCTCATTCTTGTAAATAGGTGTTTCTGGATTTTTCAAAAATTCACTTTTGTCACGTTCTGTGTGTAAGAGTGGGTGTCACACGGCCCTCACCACATCAGAAAATGAAGCGTTGTCATTTCTGTTGGCTCAGGGAAGGGTATATTTTTCCTGAGAAGTCATGATCGTCATATAGCTAAACATCATTAAAATGACAGCAATGGTAATGTAACTACCTGACATTCCCAAAAGTCACACTCCGTTATACGACTGACATTAAAATCTTACATATTGACTTGTAATCATCACCATGGCAACATAAAGTGCAGCAGGGCGGGGACGATTCTGTAGGTTGCGGATGGTGGTTCAGACTTACAAAGAAGAAGAGGTTGAAGAGAAACAGGAAGTATTTGGTCGTGGTGATGCAGCCTTTCCCCATTGTCCTGAGAACACAAAACAGTCAAGGTGTGAAGACTTTTGAACAGGGGAACCAAGTACTTGACCATTAATAGGTCTCAAATGCAAAGGAAGTTAGAGACATACTGTACTAGGGAGTCAGTCCTGGGACGGAAAAATTAAGGCAAGTTTATTTGTATGGCACATTTTCATCAACATGCTTTACAGAAAATCAGATAAGAAATAAAATTCATAAAGTAAAAATAGACTTAAGTAAAAGCATATTAATAAATATAAAATTTAAAATTAAAACAACATAAAACATTTCGGAACAGATGTTTCAAGTGAGAAATCTATTGGGTCTTCATTAATAAGAAAAACTAGATGACTGAACAATAACAGAAAGGGAAAAAACAGGCAGCCTGACAGAAAGTGGGGGCATGCCAAAGGCACTGCGGGTGAACCCCTCACCGCCGGAGTCCACCAGCCTGAGCAAACAGTCTTTAAAAACGGGTGCGCAAAAGTATCAGGGTTTGCCCATTTAACAAAGCTGACCAAACAATGGCGGATCTCCAGGGAGACACAGCTGCACGTCTGGCCTTCCAGTGTCCCAGACTTCAGAATGCGACACTCCCCGCATTTCAACTCCCAAAATTAGGCCAGCGTGGCCTGCCAAATATGTCATGAAACAGCAGCTCAGATGTTTAGAGGCAAGTACACAGTGCTTTGCTGTTGAAGCAAACATTCTATACACATCCTAGAGGCTAAAAGGAGAAAATATTCCTTTTAACAAATTAATCATAATGCAGGTAAGTAATGTAAAAATGGGGCTTATTGAAAATCCTCCAGAAAAACAAAATACTGTCTAAGATTACATCCTGCCCTGATTCACAAGCTGTGAAAGTGGGCCCAGGGGAAGTTAATGCATGGGTAGCATGAAGAGTTCCAGGTTACTAAAACAAATCTGTCTCAAGCATGTGCTAAAAATGGTAGAGGTATATCTAAAAGGAGTGCTTAAGACAGGAACCATGTAATTTACTCAAACTGAAAAGATGAATCACTCAGGAGTGGCATACTAGAAAGGCCTTTGGTAACTCCTACACTGCACAGGATGTTGGTAGTGGATGTTAATGACTGAAAGGTATATACATAAACTGCTTGAAAGGTATATACATAAACTGCTTGAAAGGTATATACATAAACTGCTTGAAAGGTATATACATAAACTGCNAGGTATATACATAAACTGCTTGAAAGGTATATACATAAACTGCTTGAAAGGTATATACATAAACTGCTTGAAAGGTATATACATAAACTGCTTGATTAAATACTCTGAATACTCAGTTGACAACCTGCAGGCCTAAATATAATGGATGCCAACGCACAACAAGTTTATACAAGAACAAAGTATTGCAATTCTAAAGCAGCGAGTACACAAGTTAGTCTGAAATGCAGAGACCAGCTGCTGGCAAACTTCACATTAATTGTTCTTCAGTTGAATTACAAATGGTGCATTATGCTCAAGTGCCTTTACCCGCACTATCAAAAACAAAACAGCCATTTTTCAGTAAAGTCAGTCCAAAGGTGTTGTCAGTATGCTGGTCCCTCAGAGCTCAAGCCAATCAGGGGCTCAGTACAGCGGCGGCGGGAGCCCATATTGGTGAAAAGGCTGGTATGAGCAGGTCTCTCAAAGCTCCCGGCATGACCAACCCTGTGAGTCTTCCAGGATATTCCGTCAAAAGGAAAAAATGTTTTAATTAGGCCTACATAATGAAGATCAAGCAAAAACATCCAAGAAAGAATATTTCTCGTCTAATGCTCAAAGCCTCACCCTTCCCGACAAGCCTGTCCTCTTCATTTCATTCTGTTCTCTACTTCTAATGGAACGTTTCTGTTTATTCTGCTCTACAAAGGAGAAAAATCCCAAATAAAGAAAACTATGCACAACACATGAAAGCCTACATTGTAAAGGTCGTACGGACATGCTCAGTTGAAGAGCTTCCTCAGGAACTCTGCCTCATTATGGCATCTGCATGCACCGTGACCCATACGAACTGACAGTACAAGCTGTACGGGGCAACACAGGCACATGGACAGATTTCTGAAGTCACAAACATCCAGATGTCTCTCTTACATTTGTTGTGGACCAAAAAAACCAAAAAGATCAAGCAAGACTAGGCACACACATACACTCACTCACACACGATGGGCAACTGGGAGTGGGCACTGAAGCCCGTTTAGCATGAAACATCTGCATGCAGAAGGCGACGCCAGTCGTGATTTATTCGGATTCCAGTAGCCCTGCTGTTCCGCAGTAGCCCGCACAGAGAGCCATGTCTCTCATCTAGACAATTTCACAATCAATCCATTTTAATGTAAAGGCGAATGCACGTTTTATAACAGTGACGATGCACAGATGCACCACAGGCTTACACTGGCATTAAAACAGGTGCCAAAGCACACCACAAACTGAGAGGGACACAGATTTAGTGGACTCCTACCATGGTGTTATCCATTTGTTAGCCAATAAGGACCAAACAAACAAATACAGCCAGTACAGGACAAAAACTGAAAAACGTTTCTAAAAGGGCCAGCGATCAACAAGGCCTCCCGCTTTGCAGCAGCATCTCGTTTAATATTCACTGCTGGCTGTTGAGGAAAAACACTGAGATCATATCTAGGTTACCTGATACACCATGGAAAAGGATATTACCAGATAATTAAGTCTGGAAAAGCAACGTTTATAAAAGGAAAGAAAAATAAACTTCTTCACCTTAATGACCTTCTTTGATAGAAATTCCAGAAAACCAATAAAAACAAATTTATGTATCACAAGTGTCCAAGCAACCTCTGTAAACTCTCTCCCCAAACAGTGCACGTCATGTTACTGTTTTCAGAACGCTAAATCCTTAGGAATTCAAATTTTTTTTTGTTTTTGGCCACCAAATGTTGCATGAGTGACGTGTGTCTTACAATTAATTATGGTGATGATGTTTATTATCGAACAGTATATGCTATAAATATGCATTAAATATGATCCGCATATCTAAGAAACACACAAGTTTATACACAGGAGACACATTTACCTCATACATTTTCCAAACATTAAAACTCAGTCATAATATATACTACAGGCACAATGTCTTTTAGCTAGAAATGTACTACTGTGAGATTTATAATGTGTGGAAATGTTATTAAATCAATATGCAATACAACTACAATAACCTAGAATTTTGTTATTTTGATGTGGAGTAGCTGCTATAGATTGGGTCATATTTTAAAGACAAGGTTTCCTTAATAGAATATATCACCTGTTTTGTAATATTTTACCCTTATTTTCTAAGCCCCCTCACTGGACACGTCAGATATAGGTCCTGTCCCTATAGCTGCTCAGTGTGACCTTGCGTTTGTGAGGAGATGGAATGTAGTGGACGTGTGCTTTTCTAATTCGGACCACATCAGCCGCGTCACACTCCAGATTCAAATGCGAGCCCGGGCCCATGAGCAAGGCTTTAGATGAAGGCATCTGTCAAATAAATAAATGTAGATGTGGACATCAGGTACCAGGTCATTCTCAAATACCGAACAACTGGCTTGAACAACTGCAGCATAATTAAGGAAACGCTGTGGTCATGAATGAAACCATCTTCACAGCCAGGTACTGTAGGCTTTAGCTGTAGTATATCTATGGTGTGAAAGAAAAGGTGTGAAAAACGCACAGCCAGTATCTAAACCATGAATCACAGATGAATGAGGACACAGGACAGCAACTTATCAAACGCACCCACAGACGATTAAACCGAGCACACCATCTGTGCCAGCCTCTATTCCTGACCTACTTCCTGCCTGTAAACCCATAACAAACGTCACTCTTGTGGCATTAAATGCCCACCACTAATGAAAAGAAAAATAACTCATTAAGCGGGAATATCCTTGTGTTTTTTCCTACAAGCTTGTGCTGATTGAAGCTCTCCAGAGCAGCTGTGAGCTGGGAGTTCTGACAAAACATCCTACATATCGAGACGTGCTATCGAGCCTTTCTGCGCATGTGCAGTTCCACCGTCTTGGGATTAAGGTTGGGTTTTAGGGGTTTTTGGTGGGTTAGGGTAAGAGTTAGGGTTAGGGCTATCACTATATAACAATTCCAAATGCACTACTAATAAATCGCTTAACATATTTCTCCACCGCCAATGTATGCGCTCCTCTCAAACCGGGTGTACAAGACATATATGGATGCATACTATATTTTTTTCACAGACCATGAAGGAATCCAGGTAGTGTTTAAATTTCTTTGCAGTTGTCAACAGGCATGAAAATGTGACCTTTGAGTCCTTTCCCCCCAAAACATCTCCATCTATCTTACAACTACTTATCCTGTATAAGGTGGTGTGGGTCTAGAGCCTATAACAGACTGCACAGGGCACAAAGCAGGAGTCCAGCTCACACTGGACACACAGGGCGCCTCACCCACGCACACACGCAATAAAAATAAAAAACCCAAAGCCTGTAAAAAAAAAATTCTCAAACAAAAAAAAATGTAAATGCGTTCAGGATAGCCAGCCTTATGACTTATCATTTGTAAGGTATTAGGTATAGAGATCCATCCATCTTCCATCATCTTATCCTGAGCATAGATCGAGAAGTATGGTAGATAATAAATAAAAAAAATGAACTTACTACGATTTTATATTACAATTAAATACAGTATCAGTTAGTCCAAGTACAACTTTATTTTATTGGCATGGACGAATTTTCTAGCTTTCTATACTTCTTCTGATTTATTTTATGCAATCAATCCGTAATATGCATTATATGTCCATAAGATAAGTGCAAACAAGAAAACATTAATATGTCGACGTCTGTTTTCAATTATAAGCCGTTCCAGTAGCATCTCCTTTCTATCTAACAAATTGCCACATCACCAAACATGAAGTGGAAACCTTTGTCGAGTATTTAAGAAAAAAGAAATATAAATAATTATGAATATGCATGCACATAGCCTATATGCTGAAATTGTTTTCAACCAATCCAGACAGTTCACAAGCAATTCACAATGTGAATTCCACACAACTTTTTTTTTTTTTTGCCAGTCTACCAAACACATCGCCCGTCAATTTCGCATTTTATAAATCTTGTTTCCCAAGCCGCTGCCTAAATCCGACCCGACACCGGGAATCCAACGCACACCGCGGTATACTGCTGGCAGATACTTACGTGTTTGCAAAATCTCACGTTTCTTAGGTTTGAAACTGAATTAGTTCCAATCAGTTCAGCACAGCTGGAGCGTTTTGACAGCAATGAGACGCCTCTGCAAAAGCCAGCTGAACCTCCACAGAGTGGCAGGCAGGGGGCGCTCATTCCTCTTAACCCTCTCTACTCCAGCATGTTGATCACGGCTTGGTGAAATCATATACCAATTAACTCATTCATATTATACGGGTTTTAATAACACCCGTCACTTAAATGGCCACGGGTTTTAATTAGTATAAGATTATGCAAAAAAAATCTGTTAACTTTAATATAGGCATATTTTTATTTTAATTTAAAAACAATTTTGATGAGAACAAGTATAGCCTATGCTATATATTGCGATTTCGAATCCTGTTATTTTTTCAGCAGGTATGGATTTGCCGTAAAATCACTATCAAAACAGATCCATTTAAAGAAGAAACGTTATTGTACAGCTCTCGTTGTACGAGTTTACAGCAAGTTCATGCTGAATCTATAAATTAGGCTATCAAGTAATATTGTTATATCTAAATGAAAAGACCTGGGTGGCGGCTCAAACTTCATGGAGGGATTTGCGGATAATCTATTAGACTCTTTTTATAGATTTTGTTTAGTAAGCCTAATTCTGCTGTAAGCGCAACACACAATGGCGCCTGTTATTGTAAATAAAAGACAAGCTGGCAGTGACATCTAAAGACAAAATAATAGCGGTTATGTCGGTACACGTCCCTGTCCAGGATGAAAACAAAATGAATGTTTCTGGCTCAGATTTAGATTTAAAAGTATGCTCGATAATGTCGACAAATCCCAAAACAACAATAGAGAGTCGTTTTCCAGTAAATCGGTTATGTAGGCTGTCATCTAACGGAAGCACAGTCACCTGTCAGTACTGTACCTAGTTATTTGTAAAGCATTAACATGTATACTTGCCTTTCTTAGGAAGGAGCTATGCTAGTAGGACATGACTGTAGGATCTGCTTTGACTGTTTGACTTGATGTGTATTCAGTATATCAAGTGACATAGAGGGAAGATCCTGAGACACTAACTCAAGGCAGCTAACAGGGCAGCCAAGCAATACAGCTAGAAAGAATATCTGACCTGCAAGATCAGAAATATGCTGGATGGGAAAAATATGACTGATGCATGACATGGAGGGCATTTGAAAAAAAATGTTTTATTTAACAGTGTATGTATACAATGCTGCATTTTGATAACATACAGTTTGCATTTAAAATTATTTTCAAATACAATTGTTTTTGCATTCAAAGTTTAAAATGATCCCATTATTGCAACAAAGAGCAAAACAGGTTAGTTTAAGGTACTGTCTTGATTTAAATGGCAAGAACTACAGGAGGGTTTGCAATAAGAGCATCCTAACTGACTAAAATCCTGTAATGAAGAAGCACTGAAATACTGTAACAAGAAACATACAGCTGCAGTTTACTTATACTGTGGAAAACATGTGACACTATTACACTATGAAACTGACTTTCTATTTTCCATTTTGTAATAAAATATAAGGGTCTATTCTAAAATAAACAGTAATAAACACACTTTATATACAAATCTGCAGTGAAGTCAGAAGCAGTAGGAGGCAGGTCTCTCCCTTATGGGAGGATCCAGCATTTTCCAGCCTGTGAACTTGCTAATGAGGCCCAGCTGGTTCTCATTACTGTAACTGATGAAAAATGGCTTATAACTAGGCGGGCTAAGATCAGGGTGTGGGGATAGAGGAGTCACTGACTGCTGGGCTCAGTAAATTGCAAGCTAGCATTGCTTACTGGGAGCACATGTCATTTAAAGGTCCTATTTTTGGCGTGGCAGTTTCAGTCATGTATGTTTAGTGTTTGGGGCGCCCTCTGTTCTGTGACAGTACTTCTAATTTTATAATAAAAGTGGATAGTTGTAAGCTGATCCTTGTCTGTGGCTTCATCATCACCACAAGTAACAATAATCTGATGCATCAAAAGATCTTAACCATACTACAGGGTAATACGGAGGAACAAGCCAGTGCTCCTCCTCGCTCTCAAATCATACCCAACTGTCAAATTTATCTTGCACAGACTTATGTATACAGCTGGAAACAAGTCTGTGAAGAGTGCCCATGTCAGGCTGGTATTGTTTTCATTAATATCTAAAGCACCAACAAATTTCAGTACAATTTATAATGTGACTGCCTCACAAAGTTATGCTACATCTACACTTATACACTACAAAACCACTTTCCAAAATGTATAAATTTCTACAATATGTCTTATTACAATACTCCTACAGTATACCACATCCATGTAGGAGTTATTAAAAAGCTTTTAGGTTACTATTTTACTGCTTTTCAAAATAAAGAACACCACTGTCAACAAATAATCGAAGAGTACATTTTTGAAACTCACTCATTCCATTTTTTGCTGCTTTTGAGATGAGACCACAAATGATCTCAAGCCAAACTTCCTCATCAAACGTTCAACCAAAACTCCCTCCGTCCTCATGTAAGCCAACAAAGAACTTTTGTTTCATTTGCCAAAACTCTCTAAGTCCACAGAAACGGTACTCGCGAATTGGACTGAATTTTGGAAATATGATCAACTCTCTAAACTGCATCCTCAAGCTCTTCATATGTGTGTCCTTGCAGAAGGAACCAAAAATATCCTAAAAGCCACTGAAGGCAACGAAAGTAACTTTACACTGCCTACATAGCACACTTCTCACTGGTTATTAAAACACTGCATATCCTATAGTGCCTGGTCCTCATGGGATGACACTAGGTATACAGTGTAGCGAATATAACTGCATGATATCAGGTTTCTTAACCCTGAGCCTGGCAAACCCTTGTGTATCAGTGCTGTCTATGCCAGCTACACAATTCAGGTTCTTTTTAATCAAACACTCATGCGAGGGCCTTTTTTCAGCCTGGCCTCAATATTACATTTATGAGCTACGATATATTTATGATGTAGTATGGCCTGAATTAAACGAAGCTCGCCGCCATCTTTGTGTTGGGGCGATTTCACAAATTATTAGGAAAGCAATTTAAAGCAAATATGATTAATTGAAACAATGACCAGTATAGGTTATCTTAAGGAAAGAAATGTTCTGAAATACCTTAACTCAAGCTTTTTTGAATATACTGTATACAGTAAATCATCAACTGTGCTGAATGAAAGAATGAATGAAAGTGATTGTTTAAAAGTTGTAAGATTAATCAACTAAAGTGAAAGGTGGAACAAAACCCATAATAAAAAGTAAGAACAGTATGAACACAAAGAAAAAGCACATAGAAATGGTGCCTTATATACTTAATGTCAGAACTACCCACTGCTGTCTTTATCTCCATACACAGGATATTAGAGAATGCTAGTGTCTCAAACCTGTATGCAGACTACATTAACATGGAATATAAAACTGCAGTCAACTATGGAACAAGCTGATACATGTGAAATCACAAAAACAAGCGACTTTATCCAATATTGTTTCTTGTGCTCAAATTATTTAGCCAGAATCAGATATATAAGTGATGCAGTAAAAGCATGAAGCACATTAGAGCAGTGGACTCACATTCTATATACCCTACATCTATCAAATCAAAACCTTCATTAGCTGCAATTCCCTTTTGTAAGAAGGGACTAAACAGATGAGAAACTGAAAGTAATAACATTCAAACTGGCAAGTAGTTTATGAGCAAGGACCCCCAATGCAGAAGTAATTTGGTCCTAAAGAGTCCTGCATTAAGGCACCCTAACCTAATACTATGAGGTGCATTGTTTACAAGCAATCAGGGCTACCCAGTGACACATATACAATAACAAGAGACTCTGTGTTACACCAGTAAAAAGACTGGATTTTACTGAGGCAACTGAGGTACAGTGCATAACAGCAAGGCTCCAAACCAGAAGACCTGGAGCTGCGCTAAAGCTGACCAGCTTCTGGAGAAGAAGAACCCTGCCTCAGAAATACAACCCCCCTGCCAAGGCCTCCTCCGATTCATCTGCCGCTCCTCAGGTCTTCTTGGGCCGGCGTCTCAAGTGGAAGTAGAAGTAGAGGGTAACAATGAGGAAGAGCACTTGACTGAGGAGGAGGAGGATCATGGGGCCGTGGGACACCGGGCTGACTTCTATGAGGGTAACAAATGTAACTGCAATAATAAAAAAAAACAATGTGTCACATGGGCTGTGCAAGTACTGCAGCTTGGAAGGCTTCAGACATCTTAAATGATCTCTGCTTGTTCTGTTGCAGGCAAATTGAAGACAGGTCCTCAAAACTCCTTATTATTGCTAATAAACAAACACTTGTAAATGGTCTTTGAAAATACAAGACAGAAAAGCAATGAATAAATAAGTGTTGTCCTCTTTTGACGGAACTGGTTTGCACCAGCACATGGAGCATGCCTTAGATGTACCAGAGATTTTAGCCACTAGAGAGCAGTGTAGATTGAGAAACTGTGAAAATATTGTAATCCTGTATCTATCGTAGTAATCCACCAGATGGAAGACAAAGAGGGGGGAAGAAAGAAATACACACAATCATCTTAGAAATCATGTAGCAATCATTTCTATCAATAGTTAAACAATAGAAAACAGTGCCAGCTGGTCAGTTAAACATTTCCCCAACCTAGACTGTCACCCCATGTTGCATAGTCTCCATAGACCTAAAACATTAGAAAAAGTGACTTTACCCAAAAACTGGATTGCCAAGTAGCAGGCCTCTGCCAGCAGGCTCCACTGAATAATAACCTTCTCTGCAGTATGCAAACCTTTCCACATGATTAAAGAAATACCTGTGGGAAACAACAGAGGGGTGTCAATAGGAGGCTATTATGCAGTAATGCTGAGCAAATAATAGCTTTCTTTAATCCTGTAATTGCTCCTTATACTGTTCTTCAAAATGCATTTTTCCAGGCAGCACAACACCTTAACTACACCCAAATAAGGAAATTTCAGGTTTAAGCTGTTAGTTATTTGCTTTTTAGGGGCTTAATCTTTCTTGTCTGTTTGACGGAAATGGATTATAACTTAAATCATTCTTCTTCGTCGGTCACACACAAAGGTGGGTCCCTCCCATTTTTCTCACACATGTTTGACAGAGCTGCTTCTCCACCCCTGCCATGTGCCATCTGCCCTGAGGATTAGTCCTGCCCTTCCCTGGTGCCATCCAGTTGGCCACAAATTAAAGAAGTGATATGTGATAGACAGCCATTGCACACCATGGAACTTGAAGCATGAAAACACTGTTTAGAAAGCGGGCCATCATATGTGCAGGGATATCCACGAATAAAGGTAGCTATCTCTGAGTTACTGTCTCCACAGATACACAGAAACACTGACACTTTAACCAGACACTTCACATGCACCCTCCCACTTATGTGTTGGCAAATGCCGAAAGCTGTTCCCAATAGCATGTTGATGAGAAAAGAGGGGCCGTTGTATGGGATTCTGGGACGACTGGGAGGCCTCGAGGGCATTCCCCATTCTCTCATACAGGCTGGCATCATTTCTGCAAAGGCCTGACTGCACTGTATGCTGGTCCCAGAAGAACATTATGAAGAATGTCAGTTTAGAAAGACAGGAGATTTTCCATTGTGTGGTTGTCCGAAACATATGCAATCATAATAACTGTTTACATTTCAAATCCACTGCAAAAATTCTTCTTGCCAAACATAAACAGAACACTAGAAATAACTGCAAGATAAACTCAAATGTTTATAGTTACCACCACAGCTGTCAGTGAGGACAGATAAAAAAAAAAAGATTATATGATTGTCAGAGCAGCACATGACATTTGACAGTGTCTCCCCTGCCCCATTCACCCTTAACACCCAGAATTCCACAGGGTTTATTTGAACTATTAACACATCTGGATGAAGTAGAGCCTAGCAGAGACTTCAGTATTTTCCACAACGTGTTCTCTCTCTGCACTGACCTATAGATTTGTTTGACTTGTACTGTTGTGTGCAAAAGACAAATATCACCAAATTTTACTTTCCAGAAAGTAGCTGAACCACAATTCAAACCACCAAGTTATGGCAGTTAGAGGATTAATATTTCCTTCCTACATGCAATGTACAGAGTCACTGGATTTTCTTAATTTTCACATCTGACTACCCCCCCCCCCCAAGTTTCTAAGAAAACCTATGCACATCTGCTTATCTTGAGCCAGTGACAGGGCTGCCGACTCTCACGCATCTGGCGTGATGCTCAGGCTTTCAGACTCTTACGCTCATGCAAAAAGTCTCACAGCAAATCTTTATCATTCCATTATAAACTGTTACATACATGTAAATGTGTGTGCAGGCTTGTCACAAATTGAAAATCCCACACCAGTCACCTGACCAAAGTTGGCAACCCTGCAGTGACCACAGGCATTTAAACAAAAACATGTCTAAGAACTGGCTGGACCCTGATGTGCAACAAGAACAGTTAGTAGTTCATCTCAAGGTGGCAGAAGGAGAACAGTCCTTACTGAGAAGTGCTCCCCCATAAAGCCGGATGGAAATACGGGCGGCAAAAAGCTTCTCCTTGAAGACTGTTTCGTAGAGCTGGCTGGGGAACGCAACAGCCTGCAATGGGTAAAACATCTGATATATACAGGCATTTGGATCTTCACATTTCAGCAACACTCAAGAGAAAAAAGAATACAGTGCATAGCAAATAGCCTTGAATGCATGGTATGTGTTTGAACTGTGGTTAATCTATGAATCCTTTTTAAGTTTCACTAACATACAGTAGGTGGCAGCATTGAGAGAACAGGAAGATAATATTACAAAGCCTATGTACTAACCCAAAGCTTTCAAAGTATACTGCACTTCAGGATCAGTACTGGCTTGAAAGTACTACCATCACCATTACTGATAACTCCTAAAATGTCTAAGACCAATGTCATACTTCTACTCATGACCATTCTACCTGCTCATGAACTAAGGTTCCCATAGTCTAATGAGCAGGTAAAAGAATGTATCCCACCAAATAAGGTGAATATAGATAAATACAGTTGCATGATAGGCATGATGTTCTGCACACTACTCACCATTAAAGCCACCACAGTAAGTGTGACTGCTGAAATGAAGATCCAAAACCTGCAACAATGCATAACACAAGGGTACAACTCGACATGAGGTTATGCAGACCACAAAATAGATAGACTATGAAAGGAAAACAATAGAGAAAAGACCTATTTTATAGCTCTACTCTTTCTTACAGTGAAGTTCAGGAGGAGATATCTTACCTGAGACCTACAGGTTCTCTCCCCCCGAATTTGGATTCATTGCCCAGCATCTGACTGATCTGCAACGAAGAGATGAAAATTATAAATGTAAATAATAAATATCACCAGCAGTAATACTTTACAAGTGGTCTATGCACACATTACATTTTACATTTTTTTGCACAGTTAAACAACTTAAAGTTTACTTTAAATACTTTGCCAAACCCCAAAGAGCCCCAACCCCAAAAGAGTATTAATAAAATGTCATGGTGGACAGTGATGGAAGGACGATGCACAGTGCAGGAACTTTATTTTAAACGGAACTTAGACAAACTCAACAAAAGGAACCACGAAGGGTCAAAACAAAGGCAAGTTGGTTAAATGAGAATAACCAAGGACTGGGACTACATGTGAAGAAATCAAAACAAACCTTAACTCCTGGTCACCCCACGGTAGTTATAGTGACCAATTAAATGGTATTCAGTGCTTCATCAATTCTGTAGTCCACAGAATTCATATACATGCAGGTTCTTACTCTAGCCTTCATTCTTAATGACCTACCGCAGCATTTTGGTATTTTTTTTTTACCATTCTTAAAATGAAGTGCAACAAAAACTACTCCAAATTTAGTTGGTACTATATTTCAATATGGCATCTCTGGATAAACTGATCTATACAAATATTATAGACCATTCACTGCTTATTTGGTCAGTTAGGCCAAGGAAAACAAGTAAATGAAACCACGAGTGTTATACATGAAAGCGCGCAACAAACAGGGCTGCGTGTGGAAATGGGGAGATTATGGGCGTTCAAGTGTAGATGAAACAGGGCAATTGCCTCTGCTGTTAAGCCCTGAGTTCCTCCTGAAGGTGGCCCTGCAGGGGCGTTCACACAGCAGGCATGTCTTACTCCTCTCTCATCCTCCCAGGGAGATGCAGCACACCCACCAGGTGAGCATCTGTGTCGAGGTCTCATTGGCCCGCTTCATTTTTACACTAATGACACTGCACAGCTTTGACCATTAATAAAAACAGGACCTCCTCCCCATGTTTTACTGGACGCATTTCAGAAGCTGTCTATCACTGGCATAATTATTTCACAGCACAATGCTGGCTTAAGGGAGAAATCGACGTGAAAGCAGGGCTTACTGTTGCCAAATACGTGGGACAGACAAAATGAAGCACCGAGGTCAAAGAGTAAACACTAATGCAAATCTGTGACCATGCGTTGCTAGGAATCCCTGCTGGAACCCTGGGCTGCAGATCTACTATGTCTGCACCCAAACAAACCCGATAATGTGACACAGAAGTCCTTTACTGCAGGACACAGTCAATAAGAGAGACAAGGACTGATCTGTGGTTTGGGCTACAGGTTCAGGTTAGGGAAGGGAAAGGACCAAATTATTCAATGCAAAGAAACCTACAATGTTCCATTACTTATCCATTCATTTTAATACAATGAGGACTAAATATAGATCGAAAACAAAACAAACTTCCTTTTAACTCAAAAAAGTCTAGATTATAGAATGCCTGCCTTTTACTTTGAACCCTAATAAAACTGTAATTAATTATTTGGCAATACTGTTGACTTATATAGATGGTACTCTCCCGGAAAGTTCTGTCCTCCCTGTTTCTTCGGGCTTAGAAAAAGGTAGATTAGATTCACTGCCTGTGAGAAAGACCATGAAGGAGGACTCTACAAGGAAACAGTAAAGCTGGCAGTTTCTTCACACTACACAGAAAAATCAACAGCGTTACATTTTACACTCATAGTGTTCATACTGAAAGTACAGTTTCCATATAAACACTTATGCTGGTAACTTAACCTCGCCAATCTTGCAGTGCAATTACCAAGGAAAGCCTTCATGTAAACACTGGAGGAACATTCAAAGCAGCTTCTTCAATAATGATAACTTGTAAAAAATAGTTTTATGACAATTCTGGAGAAATGATAGCTTGGCAACAGAATGATACGCCTTCATCATTTACAGTCAGGAGTGACAGTGCGGTGGACTCCCTAGAGAACAGCTGCCTTTATACTTAATCTTACTACTTACATCTGGACTGCCTACTTACATCTGTTTAGCAGAACTTTTATAGCCTAAGTTCCTGATTAAACTATTGAGTCCATTAGATTGCGGCTGGAATTAAGCAGGCAGTCCAGTTTGCTGTATGAAACATTGAAGTATTCAGGATTTCAAACTTCAGCAAAAAATAAGTTTCTGCTTAATAAGCAGCTTAGCAAGCAGGGCCTAATGTCCTTTCACAGACACAAGGTCATGTCAAGCCACAAAACAACTGACCTTTGACCTGTGCACCTCGCCATCATCATCCTCGCCGCCAACTCCCAGCACCTTGCGTGTCTTCAGCCGACTCACCAGGTCAGTCTGACTGTGTTTCTTCATGAGCGTGGCTTGGGGTTTGGATGCCATTTTGGTGGTGGGGTGGAGCGTGAGCTCTCACCGCCAGAAAGATACAATCAGGAAGAACTTCTGTAATAAGAGAACAAGCTTGATGACCAGCACTCGCAGACAGCAAAACTGTTTTATTTCAGCCCTCTGACATCAGCACTCTGCGGGTTCCTGAACAGGAGCACATTTCCTTTGCTGGCTGCAGGAACAACGCTGTGGTTTAAGTTGGTGCCCTCACACAAGCTGTCTGCAGAGCATCTGCTGCTGTTTAAAACCCTCCCACCTGGTTCCATTTTCACAAACCCCAGATCACCTGCAGTCATACGGGAAACCACAAGCGAGGAAAGAGAAATGCACCCTGTGAGTACGTCCTTTACGCTCTGACTGAAGTCTGCCTGCTCCGCCATTCTGAGCTGCACCTCTTCTGATTCTCTCATCTCATTTGTTAGGGAAATAGAATCATTGCACATGTCCTGTTGGGGCCAAAAATAATCACTTATATTCACTCTTTAACACTCATGAATGAAATTTGGCCAATACACAGATTCCTGTCCAAATATAGAACCACAAGGGTGAAATCTATTTTTCCAGACACAATATGGAAAATGCAAGATAGATTAACTTCTAAAGGGCTTCAAGAAAGGACGTTGAAGGGTTGAAGGACTAAATTTTTTTAACAATAAAAAAAATCTTAATGTCACAGAAAGGCTTTAGAAAAAAATGTTATTAAACTTGAAATATCATCACAAGCCAAAAACTGTAAAGGCCTGTACCAGCTAGCAAGGGAAGTGTTCAGAAAACTTTATATTATGTGAAGGTCTTCTCAAGGTTGGTAGAGAACGTTCTTAGTGTAACGTTAATTTCCATTTTACATTTTAGCAAAGATTGTCAATGTCAACATAACATTATTACCCAAACATTTTTTGACACAATTAATGTTGAAAATGTTTTACAATAAAATATTATGGTAACACTTTACTTAAGGCCATGTTTGTAGTAATTTATAAACATATTCATAATAAATAATAATGCATTCATAAAGCATTGTAAATGTGGCTATACATATTTATCAAAAGGTATAACAGATTATAGCCATGTGTATTATGCATTATGAATCCTTTATGAAGCTCTCATTTATAATGCACTATAGATATCTTTATAATGCCTCTCTCTAAGAACAGATATCAGTTGGAAGACCATCACTCAGCAAAGAGTCCTCCATATTTAATCTGAAGGCTTCACCCTTTATGGGGGACAGACAGCCATTGTTGACGACTTTTAATGGTGGAAGGGGGCCAGGAGGGTAGTGCTGATCTGTGTTCATTATTGTATGTACACATACAGTACAATAAGTAAAACAAAATATCCAATGAAATTGTTTCATGCTGCACTACCTATCTGGACTGATGGCGCTTTTCCACTGCCAAGGAACTGATGGTTTTCCACTGTAAATAATGTGTCGTACCCAAGCCGTACCCATGCTGACATGGCCCTACTTACTAGAAGTGCTGAAAGTGTGATTAAATCAAGCTGCAAGCGTCATTTGCTTGCTCAAAATGCAAGGAGACACTGGTGATCTATGTTGATATGCATGGATTATTATTTTTTTTTTTCTTTTGTTTTTTTTTTGTTTTTTTTTCTTTTTTCTTTCCATTCCTCTCTCTCACTCTCTCTCTCTTCCCTCCTTCTCCTTTGTCCCCCCCCTCCCTCTCCTTCTTTTGAGGAAGTAAATAAAAATATAAAATTAAAAAATAAATAAATAAATAAATAAATAATAAAAAATAATAATAATAATAAAATAAATTAATAAATAAATAAATAGATACAGATAAAGTAGTCCTCCGCAGAGGGGGGGTGGAGGAGGGGATATAAAAAAATTAAAAAAATAAAAATAAAAGAAATGCATGGATTATCTGAAGGAAAAAGCATATAATCTATATATTATTCATCATCAGTAGTATCTCACATCGCAATACATTGATGATAACTCAGAACTTGAAAATTTATGACCTCCTCCTTAAAAAGTACTACAGAATGACTGAACAGAATGGATTCATAATGCAGATTTATGCAAGTGAATAGTAATTCCGCTAACATTTGCTGCTAATGCTAATAGCATGCAGTCATTCCCACAGACATGCTACCATAAATTAGCAGATAGTAAATCATGAAGTGAAGGTCACTGTCACTCTCCAAACCCAGGAACACCTGAGGAAACTTAAGGAGGAAAACTTAAGCGAGTTGGAACTGCGCTGTAACTAGTCTCTCTTCGCAGTACGGCTCGGGAACAGTTCGGGTCCTGTATGTCAGTGGAAGAGTGCCGTAAATCAGACTGACAGAAAGGGCACAGATCTGAAAACGTCATTTATCTACACACAGAAATTCCCGATAAAGGCTCTTAGTTACAGAACAACAATGAATCCCACAGCTGTATACCGCAGACATTGAAAGCTGGACAACAGGGATCATACTAAGGGCGTTACAGGATTTAATCTGATTTAATAAATAAGCCCATAATCAGCTATGACCCAAATGTCCATGAGGGGACAGAGAGTTTAATTCATATGTGTTGGATTCAGCAGAGGGCATTCCCTCCCCCACTGCCATCATCTCTACCACTAAGACACTAACACTGTTCTTCAAAAACAGTGATTCACAATCCTGTTCCTGGAGTATCCCCTGCCAGAGGAATGGGATTGAGAACCACAGTCTTAAAAGACAAGGAAAAAAGGCTAGATGGTTTTCTTGTCATACCTTTTTAACATATAATGGTGCAATAAGCAAAAAAAAAAAAAAAAAAAAAAAAAAACATTAAATAGGTTGCAGTCCTGTGGGGAAATACGTTGGTAATGAGGCATGTCATAGCAGACTCATCGGCACTAACAGGAAGGCCCCAAATGCAAACACAGCAGCTCACTACAACAGTGGTGTGCAGAAAAGCTGCCAAAAACATGTCTACTTGTCCATCTAGCTTTCTGTGTTCTTTGAATCCCAGCTGTCATTATCACTCCAGAAGTCCCTGATGTCCCACATGATGAGACTCGGCTAACCGACTAAAATAACTCATCTCTGTTATTTCCCTGTAAAATTTTAACAGCCATGCTGTTTTCCAGAGGTTTATCGCACAGTTCCATCTGCCGCATGTGCTGTCAGTCACTGTCTTGCTCTACTGGTGGTGGGCCACTTGAGGAACACCTTTAGGAAGAACATAGTTCACTCAACTCTACCAGGAGCCCTGGTGCTCAGCTGACAGTATGCATCAATGCACTGATCCTGTGTGCTTCCTCTGGGTCTCCTCAGCTAAAACGGCACAGTGTGTGTGTGTGGTGGGGGGGCAACATCAGATGCTTTATCTTGACTGGTGTGCTATTGTACTTCCAGGAAGCTCATCTACTCCATGCACTAGTTCAAGAACACAAGGTCATACAGTTCCCAGTTGGCTTAAACACTTTGCTATTTACTGTTAGACTTTAAGGGTCTTCTGAGAACACGATCCAAACAATGGGCTATAAAATACCAAAAAAAGAAGCCAACCTGTCACTAAGCTTCCTGCAGGAAATATTTAATGACACCTATGACCGTGTTTCTTACTAGTTTTATATGGCTTCCAATCAACAGCAGGTGCAGAGTGACATTTATATGTTTGTTCTAGCATAAGCCTCATTAGCTAAGCACACAAAACACAAACTGGTGGATATGACTCGACTATAACCTATGAAGACAAAACAGCAGGCCACAATTGCCACAATTTCTTTTCCTAGGGGCTGATATTTTAACCAGCTTTTATTAAGATTTTTAGGCAACTGACATTGGAAGTAGGGGTGAAACTCTGTGACTGTAATGAGCGCAGACAGGTACAGCCCCTACCCAAACAGGTCAAAGGGGCCAGAGTAATCCCGATTCACAGAAAATATGTCCTCATGTCAGCCACTAGGATGGACTCTACTTATGTATTTTCAGCCTTCAAGGTTAATTTGACAAATTAAAATGCATGGAAGCATTTAAAATGCTTCCATTCTCTGTTGCAGACAATTTTTAACTCAGTCCAAGCTGAGTAGGCTTAGTAATTAAGGATGCTCCCCATTTTCCCTTAAAATAGGTAAATCTCCACACTAGATTGAAAATCAACAGACACTCATTCAGTTGCTCAACTGAGAAGTGCTGCTGAAAATACTTTGTGCTTACTGTCTACTGTCCTTCTGTACTGCTAACCATATGGGATCATTTCAAATGTACTACTTGGTGCCATAGTGGTAACAAAACTGTATTTCTCTTGGGACTGTCTGATTGCTCCAGCGACTGTCTGAAAAATAAAACATAAGAAATTTACAAACGAGAGGAGGCCATTCGGCCCATCAAGCTCATTTGGGGAGAACTTAACTAATAGCTCAGAGTTGTTAAAATCTTATCTAGCTATGATTTAAAGAACCCCAGGGTTTTAGCTTGCACTACACTAGCAGGAAGATTATTCCATACTCTAACTACACGCTGTGTAAAGAAGTGCTTTCTCAAATTCATTTTAAAATGTTCTCCAGCTAATTTCCACTTATGGCCATGAGTTCTAATGTTTAAACATTAAACATGTAAATGTAAATGTAAATGTAAATGTAAACTAATATTGAAATAGCCATTTGGCTGAACAGCATCCAGACCCGTTAGAATCTTATATACCTGGATCATATCCCCCCTTAGTCTCCTTTGCTTGAGGCTAAACAGTTTCAGCTCAGTTAATCTCTCCTCATAAGACATTCCTCTAAGACCAGGAATCATTCTCGTAGCCCTCCGTTACACCTTTTCTAAGGCAGCAATGTCCTTCTTAAGGTATGGTGACCAAACCTGCACACAATATTCTAGGTAGGGTCTTACCAAGGAATTATATAATTGTACCATTACCTCCCTTGACTTAAACTCCACACACCTAGAGATACAGTATAACCCAACATTCTAATGGCCTTTTTTATTGCTTCCCCACACTGGCAAGAGTGGGACATGGAAGCATCAACATACACTCCGACATCTTTCACATAATCAGCTACCTTTATTTCATTGGAACCCATAAAATATATGTACTTTATATTTCTGCTTCCTGCATGGATAACCTTACATTCATCTACGTTAAATTTTATCTGCCAGGTATCAGTCCAGTCGCTAATTAAATCAGAATCCAGTTGTAGCCTCTGTGCTGCTAGTTCAGTATCTACACCACCCACCTTGGTGTCGTCTGCAAAGTTAACCAGTTTACTGTATGTATTGGTGTCAATATCATTAATGTAAATTAGGAACAATAGAGGTCCTAAAATTTAACCCTGCGGTACCCCACTATGAACGCAGGCCCACTGTGACATTGTGTCTCTAATAACTACTCGCTGCTTCCTGTCTGTTAACCAGTAAAGTATGTTACTTTTGATAAAAGTTGCTGCTAAATCAATAAAAGTAAATAAATACATTTCTAATAAAAAGTATACAGCTTCTTAATTGGTGTTATACTGCCAGGGAAAAATCAACAGGGTGATAAGGCCAAATTTCTCCCATGCATCACCCAAGCATCACCAGCTGCTCACCTGCTGCTAGGCCACATGGTCGTCATCCAACCATGATATGGGCCGGAGAGATCCCATCATGCACTGCCCGGTCACCCATCCATGAGGTATGGGCCTCCTGATTCCAAGCACCCAGCCTGGCAGTATTCCAGATATTCATTACTACCACAACTCAGGAAAAAGGTCTACTAATGGCCCAGCGATGGCACGATGAACGTTATGCTGCACTGAAGCTGGAGTCCCTGCACTTTACAGCACCTGAGCCTAAATCTATCATTCTGCTCAGCAGAAACCTGTGCAGATCAGAAGCTCCATCTAATCTGCGCTCAGCGGTAACAGGATGAGCGCTACATGCTAGATCAGAGGCCTCACTTCACAGAGGAAGCTAGCAATGAAGACAGAGGCCACAGCAGGTGCTCGTCAACAGGTACATGCCAC